CTAAAGTGTGTACAGTGCATAGTAACAAAGAAAGAAAACACAATAAAATCTAAGTATATTATATTGTCTGAACTCCTTTAGTAGGATTTTAACTGGGCTGCCTAAGCATGTTGTTTCAACAGAGTAAATCTTTACAGAAATCTTCTCAGTCTGGTGTTTTCTAAATGCACTGGATTCCAAGCCCTTACCTACAACCATACTATTAACATAGGTCAGCTATTCTTTTTTTTAAAAAAATATTTTATTCAAAAGATTAAAATGCAAGATCCAAAGGAAAAAAATTAACAAAACAAAAAAACAAACCCTAGACAAGAACAATAAAAAGAAAAAAAAATGAATTAAAAGGACAAAATAGAAACACATATTATTCCCCCTAGTTGAATATTGACAAATATATTGGAGCAATTACAACTTCCTCCCTTGTAAATCGGGTCCAAAATTTATAAAATTCTACATCTATTTGCAACCCAATTTGACTTATCATACACTGTGTATATGAAGAAAAAAGAATTATGAATTAAACAGCAGCAAAATTAAAGTTCAATGCCCTCTGTTAACAATCTGTTATTGTATTTTACTCATAGAAAATCTATAACGGTTTCTTCTATACCACAAATCACTGCAATCATTAGCTCTGATCCATCCAGGATCTAATGCCATTGTTTGACTCTTAATAATGGAATTTTTCCTTCGAATATTGATAAGGAACTTTCCCAACAATTGCATCTGATTTCCAAAGTTCATAAATTTCTGTTGCAAAAGTCAGATAATCTTTTTAAAGCAAACGTTTTAGGTCTGTCATTCCTACAACTTTGAATTATGATGGTCCCTTTAATTATTATTATAATCAAGACACAAAATCAGAAAAATCCACAACAATTGCAAAATCTCTTTAGAGATTTATAGACTGCAACTTGGGGGAAAAGTAAATTATCATTTTTAAGAAAGGATGTTGTTTAAAACTATAATTCCCATCAACCCAAATGTGTCAGAGGGCAAAAGATTGTAGTTCAAAATGTACAGAGGACTCAACATTGTCTCACTTCCTTGCCCTTTAATGGCAGTACAGTACTCCAGCCCTCGATATTAAAACATAGATTTATCTGAGAAACAAAACTTGTTCATATATTGAAATGGTTTAGAAGGAACTATAGAAAAGAGGTGTGCATAGACTAGTAAAAAAGATCTTGAGCTGTATTCTTGGCTGGAAAATTAAATATTTTTCAAATCAACTCTTCAAACTAGAACTTTGAGGATACTGTATATATGCTAGGAGCTGCCATCATTCTTGGTGTTAAATTTAAACTCGTAATTTAAAAAATTATGTTTCAACAACAAAACCTTAGTTCTGACAGCTATCCTGTGCCCAGTTATCTAGATGGGAGTCTCACTGAAATTAGTGGAACTTACTTTTGTGAGTTGAAGGAGGCAGGAGTTAGCTAATATCAGCTATTATTTGCATTTTTTCCCCTCAGTGATAGCATCTAGCCATTCTTGGTTGATCTTGTCGAACTGGTATAGGGTTTCCTGCTTGAGCAGGGGCTGGCTACAAAAGTGGGATTCAGCAGGTTCTGACCAGTTCTGGAGAACCAGTAGCGGAAATTTTAAGTAGTTCAGAGAACCGGTAAATACCATCTCTGACTGGCCCCGCCCCTATCTATTCTCTGCCTCCCGAGTCCCAACTGATTGGGAGGAAATGGGGATTTTTCAGGAACCTTCTCCTGGAGTGGGGTGGGAATGGAGATTTTTCAGTATCCTTCCCCTGCCACACCCACCAAGCCACGCCCACCAAGCCATGCCACGCCCACCAAGCCACAACCACAGAATCGGTAGTAAAAAAATTTGAAACCCACCACTGGTGGGAATAGAGACTTTACAGCATCCTTCTCCTGCCACGCCCACCAAGCCATGCCACGCCCACCAAGCCAAGCCACGCCCACCAAGTCATGTCATGCCACGCCTACCAAGCCACACTCACAATTTGAATCCCACCACTGATTGAATAGGAAGACCTCCAAGGTCCCTTCCAACTCTTATTAACTAAGCAAATGTAATAACTAGGTTGCTTCTTGAATGACAGACCATTAGTGCTAGAGGCTAGCCTGGATTTAAAAAAAAAAAAAAAAAGCCTATAAGAAGGCCTCAATGGAGAACCAGTTGCATACTGTTCCCAAGAAAACTCCATTGTGGATTTTCATGAAGTCATTGAGGCATAATGTCATCTGTAAATTTTATTTTCCTGATCACCTCTGCTAATGATTGCTACATGCTTAACTCTGACCCTTGGACACTGCTCTTATGATATCTGAAGCACAGCCACTGAATTTTACCCAGTTCTGACTTAGCAAGACATGCTGCAATTTGTCTGTTGTCTGGTTCCCCGAGGGTTTACTTGAGGACATAAAGTACTCGATCCGTATCCTCCCCAGTTATGCAAGGCATTTTTTCTCTACATTACATTGCTCACCAGCCGGACAAAGGCTCAACTTTCTAATCTTGTAGTTGCTGGCATTTATTTACATTTCACATTTATTTTATTCGTTACTTATTTATCTTGCTTTTTTGTGTAAAGGTTTCTAGCTGATGCACCCAACTCTATCCCCTTATATTTTAAAACCCCACCTCTCCTATAACATAGATGAAATAGATTAAGATCACCAAATATACTGTGTTTCTCCAAAAATAAGACCCTGTCTTATATTTTTTTGAACCCTGAAATAAGCGCTTGGCCTTATTGCCATGCACTCAAAAGCCCAATTGGGCTTATTATCAGGGGATGTCTTATTTTGGGGAAAACAGGGTATTTACGTATTATTTATGCCATTTCTGGATTGCCTCAGTCCAAATGAGTTCTGATGACCTTTGTGGATGGCATGTTATCCTATTTAGTTATCCTAAACAAAGCCTGCAGGATTTCCTCCCATGCCCCTTTCATGAAATAGAAAGATTGTGCATATGCGGTTTAAGCTAGAGCAGGGGTGTCAAACTGGCGGTTCGCGGACCGGATGCATCACACGCAGAACACGCCCACCCAGCTCTGTGAAGGGAAAGAAGTCACGATAAGTCACGTGACAGCAATGTGATACCACAAGCTTAACACCCGTGAGCTAGAGGTTGGGGTTTTTTTTAGAATAGAACAACAGAGTTGGAAGGGACCTTGGAGGTCTTCTAGTCCAACCCCCTGCTTAGGCAGGAAAACCTACACCACTTCAGACAAATGGTTATCCAACATCTGCTTAAAAACTTCCAGGGTTGGAGCATTCACAACCTCTGGAGGCAAATTGTTCCACTGATTAATTATCCTAACTGTCGGGAAATTTCTCCTTAGTTCTAGGTTGCTTCTCTCCTTGATTAGTTTCCACCCATTGCTTCTTGTCCTGCCCTCAGGTGCTTTGGAGAATAGTTTGACTCCCTTTTCTTTGTGGCAGCCTCTGAGATATTGGAACCACTGCTATCATTTCACCCCTAGTCCTTCTTTTCATCAAATTAGACATACCCAGTTCCAGCAACTGTTCTATATATGTTTTAGCCTCCAGTCCCCTAATCATCTTTGTTGCTCTTCTCTGCACTCTTTCTAGAGTCTCCACATCTTTTTTACATCGTGGCAACCAAAACTGGATGCAATATTCCAAGTGTGGCTTTACCAAGGCATGATAAAGTGGTATTAACACTTCACATGATCTTGATTCTGTCTCTCTGTTTATGCAGACCAGAACTGTGTTGGCTTTTTTGGCAGCTGCTGCACACTGCTGGCTCATATTTAAATGGTTGTCCGCTAGGACTCCAAGATCCCTCTCACAGTTACTACTATTTTACCCAGACTTTAGGGGCCAAATGGTCAGCCCCACAGAATCTATACTTTCAGTCTTAATGTAAGAAGAAGGATAACGTACAGGTAGTCCTCGAGTTACAACAGTTCATTTAGTGACCGTTCAAAGTTACAACGGCACTGAAAAATGGGACTTATGACCGTTTTTCACAGGGACAACCTTTGCAGCTTCCCCATGATCCTGTGATCAAAATTCAGACGCTTGGCAACTGGTTCATATTTATGACCGTTGCTGTGTCCCAAGGTCACATGATTTTACCTTTTGCGACTTTCTGACCAGCCAAGTCAACGGGGAAGCCAGATTTGCGTAACAATCGGGTTACTAACTTATCACCTGCAAAGTTTCACTTAACGGTGGCAAGAAAGGTCATAAAATGGGGCAAAATTCACTTAACAAATGTCTCAACTTCAGGAATTTTGGGCTCCATTGTGGTCGTAAGTCGAGGACTACCTGTACAACAATTTCCTTACTGGCCAAAGTTACCACAGCATTGAAAAAAGTGACTTATGACTTAATGACCACTTCAGCATCCCTGCTGTCGTGTGATCTAAATTCAGATGCTTGGCTATGGGTTCATGGTTATGACGGTTGCAGTGTCCCAAGGCCATGTGATCCCCTTTTGCGACTTGTCAATGGGGAAGTCAGATTCACTTAACAACCTTGTTACTAACTTAATAACGGCGTTGATTCACTTAACAACTATGGCAAAACGGTCATTAAATGGGGCAAAATCCACTTAACAACTGTCTCACTTAGCAACAGAAATGTTGGGGCTCAATTGCGGTCGTAAGTTGCGGACGACCTGTATTGCATTCTAACCGTTTCCCCAGCAGGGCTTCTGATGCAGTTCTATTCTACTGCAGTTACTGTAGTATTAAGTTTTATACATATATCATACCGTATGTGTGTCTGTGGATTTAATTATGCAGCATGTCTTTCAAATCCTTTGCCTTTTCACCAGCGGTGAAATGCACTTACCTTCACTATCGGTTCAGGAGTGTGAGCATGCGCGCCTCTTCTGCGCATGCGCAAACGGTAAAAACTGGGACTAATGACATCCTGGTGGGTGGGCGGAGCCTCCTGCCGCCGGCACTACCAGTTCGTGCAAGCCGGATAGATCTGGCCAGATTTCACTGCTGCCTTTCACTCTTCCTTTTTTTTCCCCCTTAGTGCGACCTGGCTCATTACATAGGACTGGGCCACCATGCAAAATTGCTAAATAGTTTTGTTAGTTGGTTGGAGAGCCTGAATTTGCCCTCTACACGGCCTGTGAAGATAACAGATGCCATATTTGATGGTGTTGAGGTCCGAGTGTATCAGCCAGATACTCAGATCAGCCAGAAGACGTTACATCGGAGCATCGTCTACATCCATGGAGGAGGATGGGCTTTGTTAAGTACAAGTAAGCAGTCCGAAAGTGGAATGGGACCAACTGACCGCAGCCAATTCGCCACAGGACAATTTGCTGCAGGACAATTTAGCAATTCAATTCAATTATTTAAAGTGGTTAAAAAAAATCATTTTAATTTTTGTCATTCACATTTCATTTCGTCCCTCCTTGGGGATCCTTTCTTTAATGAATCTATTCCATTATTTCTCGGAAATTAGTGTAACTTATATCCTGTGGTGAGTTATCCTGTGGCGAGTTGGCCGTGGGCTGCGTGTCGTATTTCTTGTTCTTCCCCATCTTGCGATCACTAACTCTCTGCAGGCAGTCCTGACTTAGCGATAGTAATTGGGACTGGAATATCTGTCACTTCGCACTGCTCTTGTAAAGCATGATGCCACAGGGCCACATCGCTTAGCAACAGCAATCCAGACGGTCCCACTGCCGTTGCTAAGCGAGGATTATGGTTTGTTAAGCAAAGAAATCCTCACAGTTTCCTGCCAGCTTCGACAAGCACAGTGAGTGGGGAAGCCAGCAGGATGGTCACAAATAGCAATAGCACTTAGACTTATATGCCACTTCACAGTGCTTTACAGCCCTCTCTAAGCAGTTTACAGAGTCAGCATATCTGTAAACCCCAACAATCTGGGTCCTCATTTTACTGACCTCAGGGGGATGGAAGGCTGAGTCAACCTTGAGCCTGGTGAGATTCGAACTGCCAAATTGCAGGCAGCCGGCAGTCAGCAGAAGTAGCCTGCAATACTACATTCTAACCACTGCGCCACCGTGGCTCATGGTGATCATGTGACTGCTCAATACTTAATTTAATTTAATATTTAAATTTATATACTGCCCTTCTCCCGAAAGACTCAGGGCGGTGAACAGCCAGAAGTAAAAAACATCAAATACAAAATATAAAAACAATTTAAAAATGCATTAAACAATTTGGCCCGACAGTTAAAATCCCCCATTAAAAATCCAAATTAAAATACACAATTGGAGAGATTAGGCCAGCCCGACTTGATGAAATAAAAAGGTTTTGAGGGCCCGATGGAAAATACGTAAGTCCGGAATCATCTGTATCTCCAGGGGGAGATCGTTCCAGAGGGCAGGTGCTCCCACAGAGAAAGCTCTCCCCCTGGGAGTCGCCAGTCGGCATTGTTTGGCCGACAGCACCCAGAGGAGCCCCTCTCTGTGGGAGCGTACTGGCCGGTGGGAGGCTCTCGGTGGCAGAAGGCGGTCCCATAAATATCCTGGCCCTAAGCCATGGAGCGCTCTAAAGGTGGTCACCAACACCTTGAATCGCACCCGGAGGATCACCAGGAGCCAGTGCAGCTCACGCAGGAGAGGTGTTAAATGGGAGCGCCATTTCCCATAATCACGCGGGCGGCCGCATTCTAGACCAGCTGGAGCCTCCAGGTGCTCTTCAAGGGGAGCCCCATGTAGAGAGCATTGTAGTAGTCCAGGCGGGAAGTGACGAGGGCATGAGTGACCGTGCGTAAGGAGACCCTCCTAAGGGCAAGCCAGTTGCCAAATGCCCAGATCATGAGATTATGACCACAGGAGTACCGGATAGCTGGAGTTTTGATGACTTAGTCGTAAGAACCATTCTGGTCACAAGAACTACTCATTCAGCAGCATTTGTAGCTTTGATCTCTGAGCGGGTAGTCATTAACCAAGAACTACGTGTACACGAAGGGTCCTTGGTGCTCTCCGAGCTTGTTTTCTTGCAGATGTTTCATTACCCAAACAAGGTAACATCATCACTGGCACTGATGATGCTACCTAGTTTGGGTAATAAACATCTGCAAGAAAACAAGCAAGCTCGGAGAACACCAGAGAGTCCTCATGTCAACCCTGAGCTTCAAATAATCCCCTTTATTATTACTACTTGTACAGTAGAAATTTGCTGCGCTTAGAGTTTGAACACAGAAGGTGCCATGGAACACAAAAGCATGGTCACGCAGCACCTAGTTTCAGGCTTTTAAAGAAGCTGCATCTTCTCTCCCAAGAACATGTGGCTGCCTTGTGCAGCTGCCTCATGATCCCTAGAAAAGATGCAGCTGCTTTAAAGTGAGCTCACCTACACCATCTGAAGCATCTTTCTGCTCTTGAATCCATAATCCTAGTGGCGATCCATTTTTCCCTAAATTGGGTTGCTGAAAATAACATGTACAAAAGATCCCTGGTTTAGGGATCTTTTGACCTTTTTTATTTATTATTAAATTTCTCCCCTACAACAAGGTGACTCTGGACTCTGTTTTTCAGAATTCTGTGGCCAGTTACCATAAAGTCCCGAGTTTGATTTTGGGATTTCCCATTTTTCCTTTTTTTTAAAAATTGTTCAGGATATCCCACCCACCCCCCCTTTTAAAAAAAAATTGGCAATCTTGGGCTTCTCGAAAGTCCAACAGAAATGTTTTTATGTATCAATAATGTCATTTGCAGAATATGTACCTCTGCAAATATTACAAATAAAAATATCTGTTCTCTGGACCTTCTGCAACTCTATTGTCAGCATTAGCTTCTCTCTCATCCTTGGCTGTCTCTCCCTGCAGAAGGAGGCTACTATAATCATCTCTGTGAGATTATGGCTGAATCTCTCGATGCTGTAGTTATCTCAATTGAGTAAGTATGTTGCAATCAATAATTAAGAAACTGGTATGGACTGGGTTTTAAATTGTCTTTTTATTGTTTGGCAAGATTGGAGAAGAGGAAAGGAAAAAATAATAAATAAATTGCTACAGAGTAGAACTTAGAATATGGAGAATGAAGGATAAGCGATGCATACCATTCAGCTGAACTCAATTCCATGCACCGATCATTATAGCTTTCTTGGCAAGAATAAACAAATGGTTCACCTTCATGACAAATGGTTCCATCCATATTCATAGCTGTACTAAAATAAGCTCTGATTTTAGCATTCAGTATTGTATCCTAGGCTGTGATGGCGAACCTATGGCACGTGTGTCACAGGTGGCACGCAGGGCCCTCTCTGTGGGCATGCAAGCTGTCACCCCAGTTCAGCTCCGCCGCGCATGCATACATACCTCCCTCCGGCCAACTGGTCATCGGGTCTCTGCCGTACATGTGGGGGGGGGGCATGTGTGTGGGGGCCATGCATGCATGGGGGTAGGGAGCGGCGCGTGGGGGGGCCTGTGCACGGGGCGGGAGGCATTGGGGGGCCGTACACAGGGTGGGGTGTTTGTGGGGCTGTGCACGCATGCACGTGAGGGGACCATGTGTTCATACACAGGGAGGCACATGCGCAGGGGCTGTGTGGGTGGGGCTCATGTGCGGGGGCCGCGCATGCATTGCATTTTCGGGGTTCAGGCACACACTTTGGGCACTCGGTCCAGAGTAGGTTAGCCATCACTGTCCTAGGCTAAATCTTCAGTCATTAAATTACCTGAACCATAATGTGATGTGTTTGGTTTTCATCTTAGCTTCTGAAGTCCTACCTTCCGCTTTGAATTCTTTTTGCCACTTGTTCATCAGCTAGGTAATTTGATATAAATATTCATCTCTGCTTGCATCTCAAATAGCAAAACCCCAGTCTACTTTCTAGCCTTGGGCAAGCAATTTGAGTAACAAAAGTCTCATTGCTCAGAAGCCCTTACTCTTTCTGCCAAAAGGCACTGAAGAAGCTCCTCGGATGAGAAGCAAAAATGCCTTCAAGGAAAAAAAAAAAGAAAGTCCAATTGCCTTTTGAAAAACATCTTTGGGACCACCTGGATGACTGAGAATCTCCATAGACATTTTGCCAAAAGGATATTGTTCAAGTTGTCTCCTGAGCCAACAAGATACCTGCTCCAGAATTTTTATATGCCACAATTGGCTGACTATTAATGTGGATAAGCACTTTCAAGTCTTAGCATGATTTCCACCTTGAATTCGAGTGGACAATGCACCAACCTACCCGAAAGTGGGTTTTTCCTCGCAAAGAACATTAATGTTTCCAATCAGCCTAGGATAATTCTTTACCATGTGCCAATTCTCCCACATTTACAACAGCATAACATAGGCAGGCCTTTCTCCTAGCTAACACTCCGTTGATGGAATTCCAGATACCTATTTTTAAATTTTATTTTGAAAGGGGTGGGGGTAGAGAAAAGATACGAAGAGATGTCAAAATGCAGCTATTGCATGGAAAAGTTTGCAGAATGATAGATGATAAAACTAGAAGAAAATACAAAATATCCCATTGGGGGGAGAAAAAATCCTTTATCTTCATATATCAATTTAGATTAGAAGAAATATAAAGAAAATGTCATGACAGCTCAATGCTTTAACCCTTTTAAAACTATTATTAAAATCAGATTAAAGATTAGCTAAAGTAATTATGCAACAGAAACAAACAGCCATGATTAAAGAGCTTAGAAACCATATTTTAGGGGAACCCCAAACTTGGATATGGCAGCAAGCCATGCACAAAATTATAATCTATAAATGCAGGCTGAATTGAATTTACTGTAACCTCAGCCTTGTTTTATATTTAGTTATTTTTGACACTGATACATAACCCCTATAGTTTAAAACCAAATTACGGTTTTGTGTGTTTGTCCAATCCAGCTTATATGTACATCAGGGGTGAAATCCAGCAGGTTCTGACAGGTTCTGGAGAACTGGTAGCGGAAATTTTGAGCAGTTCGGAGAACCGGTAGCAAAAATTTTGAGCAGTTCGGAGAACCAACAAATACCACCTCTGGCTGGCCCCGGGTGGGGTGGGAATGGAGATTTTGCAATATCCTTCCCCTGTCACGCCCACCAAGCCATGCCCACCAAGCCATACCACGCCTACAGAACTGGTAGTAAAAAAAAATTGATTTCACCACTGATGCACATGCTTATTTAAAGTATAATTGATTCCCTAATTAATATTTGTCATCCAGATATTTCTTCTTTTTCTTCCTGTTCCACTTCCGACACTCAGAAGCTACACTGACACAGTCTAATCAACCTGGTTACCAAATCAACCATTTGCCAGATTTCCACAATACAGGGATGCACATACTAATCAAAGAGCATGGATTTCTCCAACATGCTAAATCATAATGAATGCAAGCTGAGCCTGCTTCACAAACAAATTTGCTAGGTCTTTAAAGGCGACTTTGTAGAACCTAGATTTAATAAGGGGGCTGTGCCTCTTTTTCCTCTGCGAGGGCATCATTCCAAGTAGTAACAAAACATCAACAACCAAGTATAAATGTTGTACGTGTTCATCTCCTTGAAAACAAACTCCACAAGGACAAACATTTGCCAGATTTGGTCCCCTAAGAGTCTCTCACACTTCTTCCGTTGCCTCATTATCTTACCACACTTGTTTTTCAGATTCGTGTGGGTTTTCCTAATCCAACTGCAGTAATTGTATCTTTCCCCCTGAAATCCATAGATTGCAAAACCTCGGCGAGATCTCTTAACAAGGACCTTCCCTGAATTTAAAGCAAAAATGCTGTGAGCTATTCAGACCTCAAGGCCTGCTATTATCAAGCCCAGGCTCACATCGCTTGTGTTTCAAAAGATGGTTGAACCCGTACTGAATTCTAGCTATAGGTGGAAAGCAAAGTCCTATGTTTGCATGAGAGAGGAGTGACATATTCTGGTTACTAGAAAGCTGGTTTTTCTTTAACTTGAGCAACCACTGTGTTTCTGAGCTAGATTTTTTTTTTTTATGGGAATTTTTTTCCCCATCAAAAGAACCAGTGAAGCGTAAGTCATAGAATAGTTTGGATTGAAGAAGTACCGTAAATTGTATGGCATTAACAATTTTGCCCAGCTTCTCCTTGTCTCAACTGTTAATAAAGGATGGATAGATGTCTCCTTTTCCAGCACCAGCTTGCATTTTCCCCTTTGATGTTGGATGGATATCCAGTGCATTTAAAGAGGACCTGGTTGTAGATGTCAGATTAATAGAAGCAAAGAAGGAATGACTTTCTTTTTCATCAAATAGTTAGCAATCTATGACTCCTAAAACCGTAGACCCAACCTTCTGAATAAAATTGCCAAGGGTCATCAATATTGAATTTTTACTGAAATAGGAGGTGTTATATCTGCTTTAGGGACGCGGTGGCTCAGTGGCTAAGATGCTCAGCTTGTCGATTGAAAGGTCAGCAGTTCAGCGGTTCGAATCCCTAGTGCCATGTAACGGGGTGAGCTCCCATTACTTGTCCAGGCTTCTGCCAACCTAGCAGTTCGAAAGCACATAAAAAATGCAAGTAGAAAAATAGGGACCACCTTTGGTGGGAAGGTAACAGCGTTCTGTGCGCCTTTGGCATTTAGTCATGCCGGCCACATGACCACAGAGACATCTTCAGACAGGACTAGCTCTTCGGCTTTGAAACGGAGATGAGCACCACCCCCTAGAATCGGGAACAACTAGCACATATGTGTGAGGGGAACCTTTACCTTTAGCTTACCTGTATCTGCTTTATTTGAAGAGTTGAATTTTGTTTTTCTTGTTAAATAAAATTATTTAATTGTGTCTTCTGCTAGATAGGGCAGGAGCTGGCTAACACAAGCCAGCTTTCTGGCTGGCTTGTTTCTTACAACAATAGCTCGTTTCTATAAATGAATTAATCTAAAATTAGAAACCCAGATGCCTTTCTTGGTTCCCTCCGCTGAAAACAAGCATTTTATCCTTGTCTAAAGCAGGGCAGCTGGCGTCCTCTAGTGGCTTACTATTTGAATGGCAAATACTAGAAATGAAATTTAGCCTTTCTGAACTATTTTCCTTATGAACAGAACAATTTATTATTTGAACCTTCCCATATTACAAACCATAATGTAATTTGTTGAGTTTTGGCTTAATGTAACATGTGAATCCTGTTGCAGCTTGCAAGTCATCATTTGTAAGCTAGCCATAGTAATTTATTTAACAAACCATGATTAAATGAAGTGTAGTATATTGTGATAGATGAACTCAGCTTTTGAGTGCAATCAGAAGCAAACATGCATCTGTTTTAGATATCATCTAGCATATTTTACTTAGGGTAATTTTAAAGTGATGTAGTCCCACCATGCATTATTCATTATATTTCTAATTAGGCTTAGTTTACATATCATATAGTCTTAAACTTTTGATATTCCTTTATTATTCTAGCTTTTGTTACTTATTGGAGCTTACTATATTTGACGGCTTCGTATGTCTACCCCTTCATAGTATATTATTTCCTATTCTTTTGGAAATGCTGGTTTTTGGCTACAATAATCTTTAAATTCAGGTTTAAAGGAAGTGTACTACAATATGGCCAAAATTGTGGAAACCTTTTGTGAAAAGTGTATTTTTGAGGTTTGATGGCTAATAACACCACCTTTTTTTTTTTTAAGTTTCAAGATAATCATATTCCACTGCTGGAATGGCCTGGGAATAGCCCAGACCTTAACCCAATTGAAAATCTATGGAGCCGAGTCAAAAGCGACCCAGCAATAAAACCCAGTTATTAGAAGCAATCATTCAATCTTGGTTTCACATTATAACAACTGCAGAACTTGGTTCACTCCATGGGAAAATATTGTAAGGCCATAATTCATGCTAAAGGTTACCCAACTAAGTATTAACTGACATGGGGATAATTTTTGTATATCTCGCTTTTTCTATGGGGATAATTTTTGTACATCTCATTTTTTCTACGTGTTTCACTTTTCTTCTTTATACTGTAACTGCTATTCTAATAGCAAATCCTTCATAAAAGTTATTGCATTACATTCTTGATTAAATTATCTTTCCATTGATATATAATTTTATGGTACTACTCCAAAAAAAAAAGTGGTGTTATTAGCTAGTTTTAGAAAATACACTTTTCCCGAAAGGTTTCCATAATTTTGGCCACTACTGTACATTGTGTGGCTTGCACACCCAGGAGGCATTCTTCAGGATTTTGGTCTGCAGTGAGATTTTTCTTTTTAAAACCTGTTGTTCTCCTGTCATTGGTGCTGATGAAAATGTTGTCTTCCCATAAGACAGTGTCATTGATTTTGGATAACAAGCTTCCATAGATGCTTGTGGCTAACAGAAACTGCACAACATATGGCCCAAGCAAATGGGAGTTTTTACTGAGCCAACACTCATGCAATTCTTCCCAGATGGAAGAGGCTGTGGCCAATCCTATCTCTTCCCTATTTAATAATCAACTCAATGTCTGTAGAGATTCTCAGTCATCCAGGTCATGGTTGTCCCAAAGATCCTTTTTTCAGGAGGCAACTGGACTTTCTTATTTTTTCTTTTGAAGACGTTTCGCTTCTCATCCAAGAAGCTTCTTCAGCTCTGACAGGATAGTGGGGAATGAAAGGATTTATATTCCTTGCAGACAACTGATAAAACAAAGTCCAGTTGTCTCCTGAAAAAGCACCTTTGGGAATCAAATGTTATGTTCACAAGAGCAGAAGTAGATTCTAAGGACAATGCTTTTCAATGTTGGCAACTTTTAAGATCTGTAGACTTCAACTCCCCAGCCAGCATTCATGTTAAAGTTACCAAGCTTGAAAAACACTGCTCTAAGATAACAATCATTTTATTTTTTCTATGTATTTGGGACAGTAAAATCAGCAACTCACGAAACGGATCACAAGCAGGACATCTTTTTCCTGTGTACCTTCACACTGCAAAGTATTGCTGTTATTAACCCAATCTCCCTGTGACACTCTTCTTTCTAACTGTATCCCAATCATATTTTCTTCCTCTGTCGCTCATAACTACATTCTGTAATTTGTCATTTTGACTGTCATTTGTCATTTTGGCAATCCATCATGACTTATATCCATCATGGCTTGTCTTAACACAAGACCCTTATCTTTGCAGTTACAGGTTAGTGCCAGATTTCCATTTCCCGGCACAGTTTGATGATATCCTCCGGGCCACAAAACATTTTCTGCTGCCAGATGTCCTAACTCAATATTCTGTTGATCCCGCCAGAATTGCAATTTCCGGTGATAGCGCAGGAGGCAACCTGGCTGCTGCTGTGTGCCAAGAGGTAAGAAATGTTCTGGGTGACCTAAACACAGATCCATCCTCAACTGTGCAGAAGATGCCAGGCAGGATTGGAACTAAGCGAGGACATATTCACTTTGTATGTGATGGTTTAAGTGGTCAATTCTTGACTGCTCCCATGAAAAGGATTGGGAAATGGAGAAGGGGACAATTTCTAAAAAGCCAGGATAGAGGGAGGATGGATGGATGGATGGATGGATGGATGGATGGATGGATGGATGAATAGATAGACAGACAGACAGAAAGACAGACAGACAGACAGACAGACAGACAGACAGATGAGTAGTCATGAAGGTACCAAGCTAGAAACTGGGAGTCCATGAGTTCTAGTCCAGCAGTCACCAACTGGTGCGCATTCCCGTTGCGAACCGGTAGTAAAGGTAAGTAGAACCCACCCCTGCTTGGTAAGGCCACACTTGAAATACTGCATCCAGTTTTGGTCACCACGATGTAAAAAAGATGTAGAGACTCTAGAAAGAGTGCAGGGAAGAGCAACAAAGATGATTAGGGGACTGGAGGCTAAAACATATGAAGAATGGTTGCAGGAACTGGGTATGTCTAGCTTAATGAAAAGAAGGGCCAGGGTAGACATGATAGCAGTGTTCCAATATCTCAGGGGTTGCCACAAAGAAGAGGGAGTCAAGCTATTCTCCAAAGCACCTGAGAATAGGACAAGAAGCAATGGGTGGAAACTAATCAAGGAGTGAAGCAATTTAGGACTAAGGAGAAATTTCCTGACAGTTAGAACAAATAATCAGTGGAACAACTTGCCTCCAGAAGTTATGACTGCTCCAACACTGGAAGTTTTTAAGAAGATCTTGGATAACCATTTGTGTGAAGTGGTGTAGGGTTTCCTGCCTAAGCAGGGGGTTGGACTAGAAGACCTCCAAAAGTCCCTTCCAACTCTGTTATTCTATTCTGTTCTCTGGGTTTTTCCTTTCTCTCTTGTTCATGCACCCTATCCAAAAAATTAACCTTTCAGAAGTATCAGACTACAATTTCTCCTCTTTTCCAGCCCATCTGACCGTCTGCCAACGTGATGTAAGTTGTGCAACACATTTAGATTACAAAAAGCTTCCAGTTAATAGTTACACCACCACCCCCGCCCAATCCAATCAGACACCTTAAATCCTTGGTCTATGCTTCCCACTAATCTGTAATGTGATCTCTTTGTTTTTAGTTAGCGTGTTGTGTAAAACCCACCTAATAAAGTGAGGTTTATTCAGGAAAAGAAAATATATGTGGCCAGCCTAAGACTCTTTTTTGCAATTCAAGAGGGTGTGGGGAAAAAGCCTATAGCACTGAGTTTAGGATAGAAGTGGTGTTTTAATCACATACTGCAGACTCCTTACAGATTCAATAATAAGCGGAGAAATTATTTTGATTTTGATTTATAGTGTTCAAAATGGAACGTTACTGAATGACAAAAGTTATTTCGCTTCCACGTGCCTCTAATTGATATAACCAATCTAAGTGGCAATCATTTGAATTGGACTTCAGTGGACTTCTTCATACGCTGCTGCTGCTCCTTGCATAATGTTGGGCCTGTTCCCAGGCACTGAGTACCTAATCAGGCATAATAATTATCCTTATGGATTGAAGGGATAGGCTGTCCTAGCACATTATTTGTGGGACTAATTGAGATAAATAATATAGAATTACTTAACTGCAATCCTCTCCATTTTTTCCTTGACATGATGCCTTTAGATTTGTTTAAATTATGAAATATCGTAAACACATGTAATTATGTTATTATGTAATTATCTATTAAATTATATGTCATTCAAGTAAAGTAATACCTTCTTTGAACTTAAGGTTGGCCAATTTGTGATCTGTCTAACCACTCTTGGAATAGAATGCTTGAATTACAGAATAACAGAGTTGGAAGGGACTTTGGAGGTCTTCTAGTCCAACCTCCTGCTCAGGCAAGAGACCCTATACCAGGGGTGTCAAACTGGCGGCCCATGGGCCGGATGCGTCACATGCAGGCCACCCCACCTCCACGAATGGGGAAAATATCGTGAAACGTCACGTAACAGCAACATGATGCAGCTAGTTGGACACCCATGCCCTACCATTTGGGACAAATGGCTGTGTCTAATCTCTTCTTAAAAATCTGCAGTGATGCAGCACCCATAACTTCTGAAGAAGACATTCCACCAATTAATTGTTCTCCGTGACAGGGAATTTCTCCAGAGACCTCTTTAAGAAGAGACTGGATAGAGCAGGGGTCAGCAACCTGCGGCTCGGGAGTCACATGCGGCTCTTTGGGCCTTTTGCTGTGGCTCCCTGTCAGGTGATCCCACCATTGGCTGGCCCCACCCCTCGCCCTCCCCTCCCAGTCATTCCTCGCCTGGCCTGAGAAGGTAATGGTGACGGTGGGGGATGGAGAAGCGGCCAGGGCAGAGACAGAGAGATACAGAAAGAGGGTGAGAGAGAGAGACATAGAGAGATACAAAGAGAGAGGGGGGAGGGAGGGAGGGGAGACAGAGATATGTCAAAAGGATTTTGTGGTTTCCCGGTGTTTTTTAACAACTGGTTCTCTGCTCTAATGACCGGCTGGGTAGGCGTGGCTATGGGGGAGTCATGTGACTGGTAGAAGTGAATGACATCGAGTTGGCCACGCCCATCCAGGTTTTGTGGCTCCCAGTGTTTTCTTTTCTGTGGGAAATGGGTCCAAATGGCTCTTTGAGTATTTAAAGTTGCAGACCCCTGGGATAGAGAATAAGAAACAAACTTTTCCTGGTATCTCTATGTGGTACACATGGGTCGAATCCATTCACTCATATATAATGTGGCATGTTGAGTTTCTGGATTTCCCAACAAACCTTGATGAAAACAAATTATGGATCAGTGTGTTCAAGATGTATAGGCATGGGTTGTATGACTGAGTCACTCCCTGTTTTCTGTCTTCTTTCTACAGATAAGTCAAGAGGAGAACATAACCAATAGATTTAAACTTCAGGCCCTAATCTATCCCGTCCTGCAGCCTTTTGATTTTAATACTCCTTCCTACCAACAGAACAAACTCAGCCCAATCCTAACACGTTCGGTGATGGTGGAGTTTTGGGTAGAGTATTTCAATGGAAGTTACGATTTTGTCCAATCCATGTTGATGAACAATCATACCTCTCTAGACGTGAGCGAGGCCAATTCCTTCAGAGACCGAGTAGACTGGACTTTCCTTCTGCCTTCAAGATTCAGGAAGAATTACAAACTCATAGCTCCAACCACAGGGAAACCTGAAATCATCCAGAATATCCCTGCCCTATTAGATGCCCGCGCAGGTCCGCTTCTGGCTGAAAAAGAGCTTTTACGCCTGCAGCCCAAAACCTATATTATGACTTGTGAGATCGATATTCTGAGAGATGATGGTCTCATGTATGCCAAGCGGCTAGAGAAAGCCGGTGTGGAAGTCACCATTGATCACTTTGAGGACTGTTTTCATGGCTGCATGCTCTTCACCATTTGGCCACTTAATTTTTCTGCAGGATATCACACCAGAGACAGCTATCTCAAGTGGCTGAATGAAAATTTATAAACAGAGAAAGATCCACAAAAGCAATTCATGCTACTCATTTGAAGGCATCGCTAGAGAACTTCCAGTACAGATTAGCATGCTTCCCCTGTGCATCTTCCTTGACACCTAATTTATGGAGAAGAGTCATGTGTAATCTCCAGATCCAATTCTAAATATATTTGCAAGGAAATAAATCTGGTCTTAATGGAGGCAATATAAAAAGGTGGCTAAATAATCCATACCCCTGCACACTGCAAGACGAAAATGGTATCTGTGAATATAGTTTTATATAAAAGTTTCTTCAAGAACACTGAGAAATCAGTGAAAAAAACAGCCAGTCTTAATCTTGATTTCCTATGCTGATTTTCTACATACAAGAAGTTTCTTCTCCCTATGGGTCTTCATGAGAAATGGGGCAAAGGTGCCACATGTATGACATCATTACACACTTTTATCAGAAAGCCAATGGATCCATCAGAATGCCAAAGTTATATTTCACTGCAAATGTCACTGCTTCACACATACACACAACCCAAAATGTAGGGAAGACGTAGCAATAGCACTTAAACTTGTATACCACTTCACAGTGCTTTCCAGCCCTCTCTAAGGAGTTTACAGAGTCAGCATATTGCCCCCAACAATCTGGGTCCTCATTTTACCCACCTCGGAAGGATGGAAGGCTGAGTCAACCTTGAGCCTGGTGAGATTCCAACTGCCAAATTGCAGTCAGCCAGCAGTCAGCAGAAGTAGCCTGCAGTACTGCAATCTAACCACTGCGTCACATAGCTCATTATTAGAGGATATATTTTGAGTGCAGAAGGAACCAAATCCATTTCATCTCTAGAAGGGTGCAGAATAATTCATTCTTAGTAATAAAAACTCACTGGAAGTGTTCTGTTTCTTATCCATCCTATTGGAAGTGTTCCAGTTTTTTTAAAAAATATTTGGGGGGCTGGATCTTTGTGACCTTGGAACATTTTGCATATCTTTTAATTCCCAGCATCTCTGGGGAAACAAAATGGCCTGTAACTTTAGAAACGTACTATTCATTCTCTCATTTAGGTGACTTCTAAAGGGGACTAGATAGATTCCTAGAGAACAGCAATATGTGTGGTAATTAATAGCTTAGTCTCTGCAGATCAGATTCATAGGAACAACATTGGTACAGGAAGCTGTCATAATCTGTGGGCTTGCTAAAGCTTCTAATGGGCCACTAGGAGTTGAATACTGCTAAATGGGTGTGTTGCACCACTCCCACCACAACACACAGCCAGAGTTCTACAGATGTTTATTCAAAAATCCCAACAGGTGCTCAGAAAGCACCCCCATTGTACAAATCCCAAGCTCAGCAAGGCAAGAGTCACTAGGTAACTGAGTCCAACAGGCGCACAAACAAAGTCCAGGAAAGCAGCCCACAATTCAAACAGGTCAGAATACACAACACAAGGCACAGAACTGCGCATGTTGCTCCAACAACACTCAAGTCTGCAAGTTGGGATTAAGTAGGCAATGCCGGTACAGCCCTTCATGAGAGGCTAGATTTGCCTCCTCATGAGTGGTCTAGCTGACCAATATTGTGCCTGTCTCCTCTCTGCTCTACATGTTCTTGGATCAGGAGAAGATGTAGACTCCACCTCCTCATTGCTAATGGACAGCAGCTGGTCCTGGTCCTGGCTTGGAACCTCCTGACCAACTTGCTGTGGCTGTGGCTTGGCTCCTTCAGTCATTCCTCTGATGGCCCAGCTGAGGCTGTTCCATCAGGCTAGTACTCTGCACCTCAATCCTGACCAATACTCGGCTCTATACTTTCCTCTGCAGACTCAAACTCACTTCTGAACTCACATCTGGAGAGGGGTCCAGGAGAGGATCCATGACAATGATTTTAGGCTCGATCCAGCAGGACTCAAGTGTCATGTTTTCATGTCAGCATTGGCAACACTAAACTATGTGGACCAAGGTCCAAGCAAATTTATGGGGTCTCCTAAACCACAATGTAGTTTGTTTAGTCTTGGCTGAGTGTTTTGTATGAACCCAGCCATGGTAGCTTATTCAATCAAATACAGCTAAACGAAGATTTGGCATGATAGGTGAGCCCATTCATTGTGTTACACACTTGTAGCAATAGAGGGCATCGTATTTGCAAAATAGCACAGGTCACTCTAAGTCTTCTCGCCCCTCTAAGCATGATCTCATTCAAAGTCATTGAGATAACATGAGATTTGGAAACCTCATGAGAAATTTTTAAAGCTTTGATTTGGGGATGGAGTCCAAGACTCAGAACTGATAATTGTCTTGGTTCTTGTCTGTACTATATTATCAACCCTTGTACGAACTTATTCTGCTGTACCTGATTTTTAAATAATGTTAATACACACACACACACACACACACACACACCACTGGATTCCAAACCTTTTTGGAGATGACACACACATTTGCAATTCAGAGTAGGTCTTAAGTATGCATGCAAAATAATTAATAGCAACAGCGCTTGCTTATGAGAGAAATAGTTGCCAAATTGGCTTGATGCGTCTGTCACTAATCCAGAAGCTCTCTTCTGGGCAAGTTAAGCACATTTTCCAGTAAGTGCCAACCACTTATAAGTAAATGGACTCTCAATCTTTGGCAGAAACACCACTCACAGATGGATTTCTAACTACTAGCAGCAATTTGAAGTAAGTCACTAGCGAGGGTTGGTGCTAGGTCAGTAGGTCTGAGGCAGGAATGTGGTCTAGGCCAGGAGTGCTAGAGTTCATGTCCTACAGAGCCATGGTGACCTCTGATGGGGTGATGATATCCAGAATGGACCACAACACTGTAGATGATTGTGCTGGTTTTTCATCATCGATGGAACTAAGGGTCTTGAAGACTGATGACCAGTAGCTGTTCAACTCCGATGGGGCAGGAGTGAGGCCTCGGTACATGTTTCTCCAGTGCTCTGAGAGTATGACTGACTGGGGAATTCTGGGAGTTGAAGTTCACACATCTTAAAGTTGCCAAGATTGAGAAACACTAATCTGATTTTTAAAAAATTATCAGTGATGGCAAAGAACTGGACACTACCAAGAAAGATCTTTGCAAGGAACATGTTGAGTACTCCAGAGGTCAATGCACTGAGTGAAAGGGGCTGTGTTTTGGTTGTCTGCAAATCATTTTTTTATGTCAAGACTAATGCAAGAAGTTTGCTCCTTATAGGATTTGGCAGCCCTTCTAGAAGCTATAGTTGTTATGTTTGCCTTCCTTCTATAGGATTATATAGAAGGATTATATATTGGATTATATATTGATCCAAGAGTCATCTTTGGTCTTTGTGCAAGTTTTTTCAAACCTTTGTGTTGCTGTACTTATATGTTGCAAACTAAGTGGGCGCTCTTCTCAGTCCCATGTAATAAGGGATTTTAGAGCGGGGGTGTCAAACTGATGGCCTGCAGATTTTGATCACAATTCAAGTCTCGGAAATTGGCACGTAATTACAATTATTACAGCCAAGATTATGTGATCACCATCTGTGACCTTCCTGACAAGCAAAGTAAGCAGCAGAAGCAGGGGTGAAATGCTCCTGGTTCGGACCGATTGCCCGATCCAGTAGCGATGGCGGCAGGTGGTTCGGAGAACCAGTAGCAAAAATCCCTGTGCCCCCCCCCCCCACCATGCCCAGCTGAGCTGCACAATCATCAGAGGCTTTTTTTTTTTTACTTTTAAAAGCATTTTTTCTACAACCTCTTTGGCCAAAGAGGTTGTTAAAAAAGGCTTTTAAAAGCCTCTGGCGATCAGGCAACTCAGCTGGGATCGTCAGAGTCTTTTAAAAGCATTTTTTCTACAATCTCTTCGGCTAAAGAGGTTGTAAAAAAAATGCTTTTAAAAGCCTCTGACAATCCCAGCTGAGCCGTGCAATCATCAGAGGCTTTTTTTTTTACTTTTATAAGCATTTTTTCGGCCGAAGAGGTGCTTTTAATTTTTTTTTTTAAAGCCTTTGATGATTGTGCGGCTCAGCTGGGCATTGGGGGGGGGGGGGACAGGGATTTTTGCTACCGGTTCTCCGAAGCACCCGCCGCCATTGCTACCGGATCAGGCGATCCAGTCCAAACCGGGAGCATTTCACCCCTGTTTTAGAGGTTCTTTGGTTGAGCTGAGCTCAAGGTTGACTCAGCCTTCCATCCTTTCTAAGGTAGGTAAATTGAGGACCCAGTTTGTGGGGGCAATAAGCTGACTTTGTATAAATATACAAAAGTATGAAGGCTATTGCTTAACGCATTGTAAACCGCCCTGAGTCTCTGGAGAAGGGCGGCATATAAATCAATTTTTTTAAAAAACTGTTAGCTTCTTTGGCAGTTCCTTTTATTTTGAAATACTGCATTTAGCTGTTACAAAGCTCTTCATTTCTTTTGCCAGTAGATGGCATAGTTGGAAACAACAGCTGACTCCATGAAGCTGGTTTTTTTTTGTAAACTAGGAAGCTCTTTAATGCAAAGTCTTCAGTTCTAAAATTAAAATGTGTTTGTTTAGGAAATTCAGAGTTGACCGCAACTTCAATCTGCTTGTTTTTCACAAGAAGCAATCTTTAAAACAGTTCAAGGCAAACTGATAACTAGTGGAAATAAACATTTCAGATTGGAAATTTTGTGTACAATGCTTTCCTTTCTCAGCCATGAAATGTAATCCTTTCCAGTTTTGACACATAATATCAGTGATATTAGAAAAACACTGGAACTTTGTCGCTTTGCACCATTTTCTTGGTCTCAGTTATTTCCCTGCATCGACCCAAACGACTGTTAGCAAAAGTCGTTCACGAAATTGTATTAAATGAATGTGTGCGCTTTAACTTGTGTAGTATCAGTTTCTTCCTGTAATTTTTCAACTGTTGCTCCTTCGTTTGAAGCAAAAGGAACGTCTTTCAATTATTTTTCAAGGGAAAAAAAATATTTCATCAAACTTCTCTTGGGTGTGACATGCAACATTTGCCTTTACCTCTTTGTGAAATAAACCCAGGAGGTATTGTGAAGCTCCTCTCTTTATCAGCTCTTTCTGCTAGTATCTGCAGTTGTCCAAAGTTCTCACATTTCAAGCCAATGTCATGAGAAACTCTTCTGATGGATCACGGACTGAGGTCAGGGGGAAAGAAAAGGGAAGAGTGTTGGAGGCCTGTTAGCCACAACACCACAACTTCTGCCACGTTGCAATTATGTACTAAGTTTGGAAACAAGAAACGATCCTCTCCCCTTCCCAAAAATCTTCCCCTGAAAAATCTTATGAAGTTTAAGAATGAAGATCCTTCTTTTCCCAGAAGATATGGAGAAAATTGGAGGGCACATCTGTACAGCATGTTTGTGATTATTCTCTGGCATTCGCAACAGGGAGCAAATAAAGTTTAAGTCAGGAAAACAATACAATTTGGGGAAAAAAATTAACCGCCCTCTTTTCAGCACTGCTATTCCATTCCAAACATGAGTCTTCTCCAGCAAGTTTAAAAAGAAAGAAAAGAGTTAGGAAACATCTGTTTGCAAATGATGCATTTGTTTTGATTTAGGCTTTCACGCTGATAATATGCATTGAGTCAGCACAAACTTGGATTGCAACATAATGCCGAGAAGTTTGAAATGGCAATTATTCAGAATTGCAATGGCTTTATTGCCATTGTATCTCTTCTGATGTTGGGACTCTAGAAAGAGTGCAGAGAAGAGCAACAAAGATGATTAGGGGACTGGAGGCTAAAACATATGAAGAACAGTTGCAGGAACTGGGTATGTCTAGTTTGGTGAAAAGAAGGACTAGGGGTGACATGACAGCAATTTGAGGGGCTGCCACAAAAAAGAGGGAGTCAAGCTGTTCTCCAAAGCACCTGAAGGCAGGACAAGAAGCAATGAGTGGAAACTAATCAAGGAGAGAACCGATCTAGAACCAAGGAGAAATTTC